GAGCCGCGAGCGCCCGGGTTGCAAAACCAGAAATAATAGAAGAGAACCGGGCTGAAGGTCCCGTGTAGCTCGGAACCGAGTGCAACCAAGCTGTTATTTTTGTCAGACTGGGTGCTCTTGCGTTACAGCACATCAAGGAAACGGTCAACACAGTCCAACTTCCGCATCATTCTAGGATATAAAAGATGAAGCACGATGTATTTCCACCGGATAGAGTGATCCCCGCTACCCCGATGCATGCGAAAAACCTCATGTCCCCCGCCAGCGATCCTCACAGAAAGGGACCGTGTCTCACCTTCTCCTGCCCTGCTTCTCTTCAGTCGGTTCAACCCAGCCCACACACCCCACCCTGCCTTGCAAAATTAACTGAATTAACACGGACGTACGTGGCCATCACCCCCCAAAGAACAAACTTCAGAGGACAAGCAGGAGCCCAAGGCCAAGGTTTCAGCACCAGCTGGGGAGTGGGAAGAGCACCCAATGCCCAGGACAAGCGACTGCTGCGATGGCTTTAGGATGGAAGGTGACCGAGAGGAACGGGTGCTGCTGAGCTTACAGCCGCTCCAGCTGAGCTCCGCAAGCGTTACAGGACTAAAAACAAGTCATTGAAATCCAGTGAATGGCAACACACACAAAAAACTAAGAAATGGATCAGCATCTCCACTCCCCATCCATCAGGGCTGAGATGAAGAGGAGGGTTTTTTGGTTTTATGGCAAAAAAATCCTTCTCCCAGGAGATACTTTGGCTTGTGACATTTGTGTAAGGCTTCTCTGCACTGCTCACCCTGCAAGGTGCGTGTGAACGGGGACACAGCCCTGTGTCAGAGTGTACCACCACCCCGGGGAGGCCTCTACACAGGGCACTTAAATCTAACCTCGATAAATAAAACCAAATGTTTATTTACACCAAAGAATTCCAACACTGGATCTTTCACATATGAAGGACAAAGTATATATACACAGCAAGGGGTAGCAGGGCTGTAACAAGGGTGCTTTTCCGTTGTCAATGATAATATTTGTCCACAATTACTGATCTACCATTTCAGTTTAAGTTAACGTCTGCTCGCTCCTTCCTCTCAGTGCATATTTACAAGACTGTGAGGTAACTGGTATTCTCACCACATGGCACGTGAGGGAGGGGATGGTGGGTGAAGATGTGATATCGGACTTGGCGCAGTCTGATTTTTCCAGCTTTAAGTAGCCACCAGCTTGAAACCTATATAAACAATTTAAAAACAATATACCCAATAACAAACTAATTCCAGAGATCCAAGCCAAGCAATGGCAGGAAGAGCCCTCCATGAGAAAGGGGCTGATCAGAGAACAGCTTGCTCTACAGGAGCACCTTTCTCAGGAGGTGGCAAGGACTCCAATTGGATCAGTAACTTCATCTTTTAAGACTAAAATTACATGCAAGGGGGCGAGTTGGCATTCTGATTGGCTCCTAAGGAGACATGATTCAATCCAATTAGGGTTTCAGACATTATCTGCACTTACTTTTTTTAAGCTTATACCACCTCTCCATACTGGAATTGTCTCCTCAGTGTACCCCGGCTGAGTCATATGCAGGACATGGGGTTAAAGTGAGTGGTACTTTAAGAATCCCCCTCCCCTGCCTCACGAAGACTTGGTTTGGTAGTCTCTGGAGAACAGCACAATCCCCCAGGGTGTAGGCTCGTGGAGGAGTAATGGTGGGAACATGAAGAGAAGAGATTTCCAGCAGGATGCAAGAGCTTGGAAATGCTGTTGATTCATCTTTGTTCTTAAATGAAGAGTACTTTTTTTTGGGGAAAAAAAATTGTCCGAGAAATATTCCATCTGTAGGTATTTTCAGGGAATCCCCTGAGTTACGAAAAGTTCAAGTAAAAAAAGAAAAATCAGCCTATAATAATTTTGTATATAATGACTGAACTACTATAAATCCACAAGCAACAGTTCAGACACGGTGCCTCCAAAGCGTTCATCCCCTCCCTTCCCCTGCCAGGCACGAGCTGCGTCCTGAGGAGAGGTGGAGGGGGAAACCTCTTCCCCACCTGACTCAGCTCAGGCAGCAGGAGACAGAGCCCATCACTACTGCTGAGCGCCTGCAGCAGCTGGAACGGGCATCCCCAGAGTGGTGGTGGCAGAAATGACGGGTGAGCCTGCTAGAGGTCCAAGGGGTGAAGGTGTTGGCACTGAAGAAATCCCTGGAAGAGAGACGGGTAAGCAGGAATTAGAGCGAAACCAGTGCATCGCTATCCAGGGCAGCTCAGCTTCTTAAATGAAGTGGTATCTTTGCAGGTCAGTTTGCTGCCGCTTTGTTACGTTTTTGGAGCTGCCAAAATAAGCTGAGACTAAAGATCTGTCACTGTACTCTGCAGCCGCTGAAAAGAGCGCAGATTTGTATACATACAAGTGTCACTGATGGGCAGATGTATGGCAGGATCACTGTCCTTCAAACTGCTGCCAAAAAATCCATCTGCAAAGCGCTTTTTAAAACAAGACCAGAAAAGCAGTCAGGCTGCAGCAGGGCCTTATTTATCTCCCACCCACTTCGTCATAGCCCTCCTTGCCCTTGTCCTCGGTCCCTAGAGATGATCCACACACGTGTGTAAATGCTTTAAAATGCCATGCACCAAGAAGAGTCAAGAGCAGAACTGACCTGACATCATACTGGCACTGCTGACAGGAGTGCTGCCACCCGGCATGTTGGACGAGCCCATCCGAGCTTGGTCTTTCACGATGGGATCTAGGAAGAGCACACTACCCTTAGACACCGTGTTGCCAGACAGCAGCTGAAGCACACTGATTGCCCGCGACCTCTGTGCTCAGCCAGTCCTGCCAAGCTGCCTACATCAAATAATATCAACCATCATCTACCAGAACACAGAAGTTTCCACCAACCCTAGTGGGAAGCACCCAAGAAGGTATCAAGGTAATGTGATCAGTGAAAAGTCGCCTAAATGATGCGC